AAAAGTATAACTTAATAAAACATTGTGACTCCTTTAAAATACATCTAGTACCTCTAGACTCTATTGCAATGGATCTTTTGCAAACATACAAACTAATCTTGGCACTTCTAGAGGCAGTTGGAATGTCTCTGATCACATGAACTCCTCAAACCATTTCTAAAAATTGTTTTTAAAACTGTTAGATCATTTTCTTTAAAGTTTTAGATTGGGGCGGGGGGGGGGTCCCGGCCCCATAACCTGGTGGATAGAGTGCGGTGAATGCTCACCATAGTTCGAATCCTACCATGCCCGGGCAAGTCTGTGTATGTCCACCATCTGGCAGGATTGGAGACTGGCATGGTCACAGCCCACTCGGTCCTCTGCCCTGAGTACAGACTTGATCTGTATTTATATGAGGACGCCGGGAGTGCATGGGCCCATCTTCAAGATGCAGATTGTCAAGGTACATTTTTCTTACCTTTAAGTCAAGTAAACAAGACAGAGAGACAGACAGAAAGGAAGAAATCAGCCCCTGGGGGAAGGCCATGCTGCAGTGGCTTCTCCTCCATTCTCCTCTTGAGATTGTGGGCATGCATGCACACGCACCCAGCATGGATTTTGATCTGCCAGGTCTGGGACTCAAGCCGCTGTCTAGCAATGTAGCCGTTATGCCATCTGCTGATCCTATATACTTCTGTTTTAAACTCAAAACAACATGTTTACTTGACCTAAAGGTAAGAAAGATGTACCCTGACAATCTGCATCTCGAAGATGGGCCCATGCCCTCCCGGCGTCCTCATATAAATACAGATCAACCACAGACCGTTGGACTGAACCCAGCCTCACCCTGGGCCAGAGCTTCTGCGGGTGAAGGAAGCCAGCACTCGGGGCAGAGGACCAAGTGTCTGCAGGCCCCGCGTGCCCTCCGAGTCAGCTGCACCGATGGGGCCGAGCTCACCCATTCCCTGACAAAGCTCGGTGCCCACAGGGGTGAGCGCTGCACTGAGAAAACACTCAGCGAGTCGTTTCCTGGAAACGCGAGAGTTCTCTCACTTCATTGCTTATTCTTAATGCATGTTTTGAACTTTACACATCTTGCGTAAGAATTTTCTTGTATCCCAGAGAGGAGGTAAAACGTGGTACTTAAAATAACGAATACCACGTGGACAGTTTGGATAACCGGGTGCGTACCATGGCCGCCGAGAGGAGTGTGTTACAGACTCCACCTCGTTTCAGCCCGTCCTGTATCCTGCGAACACCACCAGGTAGGGAGAGGGAGCGTGCATGGCTGAGTCTGCCCCGGGAGCCTTCGGCGATGCTGACACACTCACCCAGTAGGACTAACCGGAACGACTGCCTCGATTCTGCGACTGACATTCAGAACTCAAACACGCCTCTCTCCATTGTGCTCACAGCGGGAAGAACCAAAAGCTGAGACGGGACGGCAAAAGGACACTCCTTTTTCTTGCAAAAGATGGATTCAGAATGGCACACGTGCTCGCGGCACACGCATGTTACACGCGCTTGTGGCACACACGTTACACTGCTCATGACACATGTTACATGTGCTCGTGACGCACACATGTTACACACTCTCGTGGCACATGCATGTTGCACTGCTCATGACACACATGTTACATGTGCTCATGACACACATGTTACACACACTCGTGGCACACGCCCGAGAGGAGTTGCACGGTTCTGCGTTGAACTGAAGAGCTGGTGCTGGCTGCTAGCGTCACGCGGCGCTTGCCCTGGAATCACGGATACTGCTCTCACACCCGTGCGCACACCCACGCATACACTTAGCACGGCGTGTGTGTACGGCGTGGTTAGCGTGATCCCTTCATTTAATTACTTTCTGTATTCACGGCAAGCGTGTGCCCGCACCTGGGAGAGGGAGCGCCTGCACACGGTCGGATGGTGCGTCGCCCTTCCTGCCTCCTCAGACACTCAGGCCACGACACCGTGGGACCGGCCTCCCTGCAGGCCTCAGGCAGCACCCTCCACGAGGCGCTCTGCCGTCTTCTGCGGCATCTCCTGAGACGTGGCTGCCTGTCCCCGCTCAGCTCTGACTCACGTGGGCCCTTCCACACTCCCGCTGTCCTCGGCCGCAGCTTCTGGAACGCTGTGGTTTCAGGTCCTAGGTCCTCGTCACAGTCACATAATCCACCTCTGGAAAGAATTCTTTCACAAAACGGCAGCAGTAAAGTTGTGAGAAATGAGTGTATTGTCAGAAAAGCCAGCACCGCAGTGACTGCGCGGGGAGCCTGAGGGGCACCAATGCTGCTGGCCTGCTGTTTCTGAGTGGCTTGCATCTTAGTCTTGGCTTTCCACGGGCATCAGACTGGCCCCCTTCGCCGTTCTTCTCCGGCATCTCCTGAGACGTGGCTGCCTGTCCCCGCTCAGCTCTGACTCACGTGGGCCCTTCCACACTCCCGCTGTCCTCGGCCGCAGCTTCTGGAACGCTGTGGTTTCAGGTCCTAGGTCCTCGTCACAGTCACATAATCCACCTCTGGAAAGAATTCTTTCACAAAACGGCAGCAGTAAAGTTGTGAGAAATGAGTGTATTGTCAGAAAAGCCAGCACCGCAGTGACTGCGCGGGGAGCCTGAGGGGCACCAATGCTGCTGGCCTGCTGTTTCTGAGTGGCTTGCATCTTAGTCTTGGCTTTCCACGGGCATCAGACTGGCCGCCGTGGAGGACGAGCTCGCTCACTTTCATTGGCTATGGGGGCAGAACCTCCCACGAATGTGCATTTTACAGCTACTGTTCGGTGCCGCGACCTCAGCTTAAAACTGGAGGCAAACACAGCAACATCCATTTGGCTCCGGCTGGGGGCTCTTAGGCAAGTGGCTCCTCGCCAGCCGAGACGAGCAGTGTGGACCTTCTAAGTCGTCAATAAAGCAAGAAGGAGGAGCGTGGAGGCCGCCGAGTGCCACCAATGCCAAGTAAGACGTTCAGGAGAGTGAACGTAGGCGGCAGGCCAGATTGAAGCACAGCACGCCCGGGTCACCGCTGAAAGGCTGAGCACATCCGTCAGGGAGCGCCCGGGCTGGTCAGCGGTCCATTACCGGCCCAGGGCATCCTGCACAGCAATGTAAACACCCCGCGCTCGTAGATCATCACCGCCTGCTTTAAACCACCCCCGGAAACCGACGTGTTCCTTTAGCATAAAAAATGTGTGAAATGTGAGGTCACGGTACCAGCCTGTTGCGGGGGTTTCTAACTTAATGAGCCCTTGTCAGGCACACATGCAGTAAGTACTGAAATGAAAAGTTAATCAAAAACATTTTAATCGTATGCAGCACTATCTGAGCAAAGCTGGAATTTCTAGTAGACAAAGAAGCGGGGCATTGTATCAAGATGTGATATTCGTCCTTTTGAATTTAGCTAACAAAATGCGTGGTGTGAATGAGACATTTGAAAACACAGACCTAGCGGGGACACATGTCCACATGCAGCCCAGTGCGTGCAGATGGGCTGTTTCCGGAGATCACTGTGATCCACAAGATAGAGAGTGGCCAGTCCACACTGTGGACTCACAGGCCAGCCCGGGGGCCACCTGCCGGCACCTCTGCTTGCCTACTGCAAATAATCCAACTTTAGCAGAGCCCAGACGAGAAGACAACAATGTGCCCGGGGGCTCCCTTTTGGCCCTCCTCAGGGGGGCGACAGGACTGAGCGTGCGGACGCCTGCTGGTACCCTGGCATGGCCACCACTGCTGGGAGGGACTGGCAGGTCTTCCTCGCATGGCCAGGCCCACCGGCCAGCCCAGAATGGGACGGAGCACGACTGAAGGCTTGGATATGCCCCAGGAAGGGTGGCCAGCTCTGACCACAGGCAAACTTGCACTTAAAAACAGCCTGCCATCAGTCTGAGTCCCAGACCTGGTGATTTGAAAATGACACCAGGCACGTGCGGTCCGAGAATCCCAAGAGAAGGGACTGTGGCGTGGCCACCCCTCCGGGGGGTGAATCACCTTCTCCTCTCACTGTCTCTCTCTCTATCTCTCTGGTGAGCACACTCACCCCATGGCCCAAAAAAAAAAAAACCCTGCCATAAGTCTGCTCTTAGACTGCTCTCTAACAGTGACAGTCGCCAGGGTAACTTCAGAAACAAAGCCGCCTCTTGGAATGGCGGGAGGCCGCGG